AAAGTTATTATATACATGCATAATATATGTAAAAATTACAAATAAATAAAACAAAAAAATAAAATAGGTGAAAGGGTAGATAATAAGTAATAAAGATAGTGTAAAATGAGACATAAGCGCACCAATTAACCCATGTAGTGAAGATGTTGAACTTTTCAATTCACTGTGATAAGATTCTAATGGATTTGTAGAAGTGACTTGCAAAAGCAAAAAAGAATGTTAACGCGTCTACAATGCCCATTTCTGTGTATTTTTCATGTAGTTTCTTTTAATGTAGTTCTGAATAGCAGAAATAGTACAGTTGTTGATAGCGTCTTGCACAAGTCTTTCGCAACCAATCTTTATTCTTTTGTGCATTGCCACAATCATAATGTCACAAGTTTTTTTATTGTAAATTTTTGTCATCCACGTTCTCATAATATGAACGACACAAAGAATTACTTCACATTTTTGCTCACCGACATTTATACCTGGAAAAGTCTTTTTAATGCTTTTAGTCTCAATACTGCTTTAATCTGAAAGGATATAACGGGAGGACCAATGACAATAGCTATTACGAACTATTTTTAGTACTTCCGAAATAGTATTACAGTCTTCACTACTTACTAAGAAGTGAGTACCTACATCCCAGCATCCATAGGTATCACGAATATATAAAGTGAAGAGATGCCAGTCGTATCTATTAGTTTTATGAGTTGAATCGATAAGCGTTAATCATCCATGACGCTGAAGTTTCTCAAGTTACTTAGGATGCGCAAATACAATACCCTTAGTAGATCGGTGGGAAATACTATAGTCTTTAACACGATATCCTTTTTCAATTAAATAGGATATGGATTGTGAAATGTCTGTCTTTAAATCAGAATTGCTAATAAGGTGGGCTTTCATAGGTCTACGAACTTTATATTTAATATTTATTACTTCCTTTCGACTTAGTTCTTGCACGCTTGTATCAAGATCTAACTTAGTTGTTGCATATTCTTTAATGGCGGCAGTAATCGCCAGAGGTGAATAATTTTTAACTGCTTCTTTTTCCACTAAAACTCGAATAGCTTGAGAACGCTTGATTCTATTAGATTCTAACAATAAATGCTCATGATCAGGAGAGTCTTTATAGCGTTCAATTTTAACCATTTTCAACGAGATTAACCATAAAACTTTAATTTTAGCTTTACAGAGTCTGGATGGTCATATTCTCGTTATTCTGCGCTTTTTATTTGGAATATTTTCCTTTTGTCGTGTACTTGATTCCCGGTGCTTTGTAAAACGGCAGGTGAAAACTTTCCAATAATTACCATTTTCTAGTTTATATGAATTCTATTGTGTCCAGATATTTGAAACTAATAGCCACCAATTTTCTTCAAAATCCTCTATTGAAATTTCCAAAAAATCATTTATATTGAAAAGAAGATTCTGTTTTTCGTCTGGTGTGATGTTTGCTGATGATGTAATAACTGAAGAGGTTGCAAAATTTGAAGCAACCGCTGAAGAAGCCGCTGAAGAAGCCATTGAAGAAGCTACCAAAGAAGTCATTAAAAAAGCTATCGAAGAAGCTATTGAAGAAGCTACTAAAGAAATTGAAGAAGTCACCAAAGAAGTTATTGAAGAAATCGTAAATTTTGAAGAAGCAGCTGAAGAAGCTGCAAATTTTGAAGCAGTGGCAAAATTTAAAGAGATAGCTGAAGAAGATGTATACATATTACATTAAAGTATTCTTTCTTTATTTTTCTTCTTCTTCTTTTTCTTCTTTCTCCTCCTTTTTCTCCTTTTTCTTCTTTTCTCCTCCTTTTTTTCTCCTTCTTTTTTCTCCTCTTTTTTTCTTTTTCCTTTTCCTACTTGTAGTGTGTTATATTAAAAAAAAGACAACTTTCGTTTTTATAATTTTATCAAAAAATAATAATAAAAATAAAACGCTTATGTTCTTTATAACAATAGAGAAAATAGAACACTTTATTATTATATGCTTTTTATGCTTTATATATGTGGCTGATTTTTTTTATTTTTGTGTGACAAATCGACCATTACCCCTATTGATATCTAACAGACCAATCATAATCATCCTTACAATCATGTGAGATTTCATGTGACTACTCCGCTTTAGACGCCCTCCATTTTAGATATACGTCCTACATTATCATGAATATGCTCACTTAATCCTTTTATATGTAAATGATCTATTAAAGTACGAAGTAAATAATCATTAATTCTACATATTTTTAAAAATACTAGCCTACATAAAGGTAAAGTAGTATTAAAACAATATTTATATTTTTGTAAACTTGAAGTAGTAGAATTATCAGATTTT